CCTGGGGCAAGCGGGAAGAAACCGCATTTCAAAAAATAAAAGACCTGCTGACATCTGACTCGGTTCTTATACAATACAACGAAACCCTACCGTTAACCGTGACCTGCAACGCATCACCCTTCGGCGTCGGAGCCATTCTAAGCCGCACACTACCGGATGGGAGAGAAGTGCCAATCGCATTCTACTCAAAGACATTGTCCAGGGCAGAGAGAAACTACAGCCAGCTGGACAGGGAGGCATTGGCAGCGATCACTGGAGTAAAGCGGTTCCACGAATACCTGTACGGTAGGACTATGAGGCATACGATCATAAACCACTCTTAGGAATACTGGCAGGGAACAAGGCCACCCCAAACATATTGTCACTACAGATGACAAGGTGGTCCGAGTTCCTTGCCGCCTACAACTATCAACTAATCCACCGGCCAGGGAAAAGCATATCACACGCTGACGCCCTGAGCCGCTCCCCCCTCCCTGACCTGGAAGACGACCCGGCTCCCACCACATCCACACTGCAGATAGAAACATTACCCAACTTAACCATGACTGCGTCAGACATTGCCAAAGAAACTGCAAAAGACAGGCAACTGGCACGGGTTTTAAACTGGGTAAAAAAAGGGTGGCCGGAAACCAATGACAGCGAGCCGTTCAAAACTTTCCGGAACCGACAAACCGAACTGTCTACTCAAAAGGGTTGCATACTATGGGGGGACAGAGTGGTAATTCCAGAAAAAATACAAACCAGAGTATTGGACATGCTACATGAGGCACACCCGAGGATTGTTAAAATGAAATACTTGGCCAGGAGTTACGTTTGATGGCCAGGGATGGACAAAGACATTGAGGCATGGGTGGCAACATGCAGCAAATGCCAGAAATCCAGACCTAACCCCCCTTCCGCTTCTTCCCTCAAGTGGGAGACACCTAGGGGCCCCTGGTCACGAGTCCATATAGATTTTGCAGGAACTACGAAGAGACATACATTTTTAATAACTGTCGATGCTTACTCAAATTGGCTTGAGGTCAGTGTCATGCAATCAACAACAACAGAGGCCGTCATCAAAAAATTAACAAAGCTGTTCGCAACCCATGGATTACCGGACTTGCTAGTTTCAGACAATGGCCCGCAATTCACGGCGTTGTCATTCGAAAAATTCCTGGCTGACAAAGGCATACGGCATGCCTTGACAGCGCCCACTCACTCGGCGGCAAACGGAAGGGCGGAACGCATGGTTAGGTACACCAAAGACACATTAGAAAAAATGGATAGGGGGGACATACAAGACAAAATAAATAAAATGCTGACGATACAACACATAACACCCAGCACATCAACAAACAAAAGCCCAGCAGAACTCCTGATGGGCAGGAAACTACGATCAAAATTAGACAGATTGCACCCAACATACAACGCCGAAAAAACACCAGACTCTTCCAGTAAATATTGCACATTTACACCAGGGGATTTAGTATATGTAAAGAACTTTACGGGGGACCCACTCTGGATACCAGCCAGAATAACCCAGGTAACGGGCCCCCGGTCATACCGACTGGAAACGGAAGATGGAAGAAGCTGGAAAAGGCACATCGACCAACTGAGGTCAAGAACAACCGAAAGAAACACCGACAACATGGGGAACACAGATTACCCACAAACATTGAATTACTTCTATTGGAGAATGTGGCTTTTGGGGAGTTGTTTCTAACTTCTAATATGTGGGGTAATTCCAGGTTGTGTCAGATCTAGAATTACCATGGACTTTGCCAATTTGATGTTTTCCTAAATAAAAGAAATTGGCTTGGAAGATGGACTTTGTGTTTTTCTTTTTAAAATGGATTTCATCACTTGGAATCCTGACAGGTTGAATGAGGTTTCTGTGACTTTGAAGTTTGAACTATTCTGGGGTTGTGCAATGAAGGGACTTGTATTCTGAAAGGGTATTGGGCAATTCCTATTGTGGCTAATGGCTTTCATCCTGTGTTGGATCTTGGGTAAGGGGCTGCTTCTAATACTATCACTCTGCTTTTGTTAACTGTCAAACTTTGCTGCAAGAAGTTTTGAAATATCTTGAATGGATTTCTGCCTGTAATATTTGCTTTGCTTATGTATAGAGCCATTTAAATAGTTGACTTATTCTTTCAAAAAGCTCTTTATCTCCTTAAGTGCTGGAATCTGCTGGGGGCTACTTTTTGGCTCTAAAAACATGTTTCTCTATTTCTCTATGTTTCTCTAAGGCAATCATAGGAAAATGGGAAGTGAGCAAATCAAACATATTTAACTTTGTTACAATCCAAACAGCTTGAACACAGACCTACATTTTCAGAAAAATGCCCTGAGATGAGATACTGTTTCTCAACCTTGACAACTTTAAGATAAAATGGACAGACTGTTTAAAGGCAGGCATCAGAAAGAAAAGCAAAAAATTCAGCAGATCAAAGAATGATGGAGCAAAGCTTCAAAGCAGGCAGAACAAAAACACTAAAGACCCCCAGTGTCATAAATGCGGTGGCATGCTTCATCCTAGACAGGAATGTCCTGCTAAGGATGCTAAATGCCATATATGTGGGGAAAAGGGTCACTATCAACGTGTATGTTTTGCAAGCAAGGCTGTGCATGGCATTGAGGAAGAGGAGAGAAGCTTCTTTCTCGGCTCTGTGACATCACATGCTGATCCATGGACTGTGGAAATCAGAATGATGGATAAAGACATCACATTCAAGTTGGATACTGAAGCAGATGTCACTGTTGTTTCACAGAAGAATTTTGCCAACATTTTTCACAACACACAGGTGCCGGCACTGCAAAAAGGAGAGAGACCTCTACTGGGTCCAGGGAGAATTCCACTGGAAGTGATGGGGTTTGCCAAACTACAGCTAAAGAAAGGAGCAAAACAAATTTCAGAGAAGGTGTGTGTGGTCAAAAACCTGAGTATGCCTTTGCTGGGACTGCCAGCTATTGTAGCTCTTGGTCTGTTGGTTCGTGTGGACACTGTTGACATGGAAAACCTGAAGTCAAACTACCCTAAGTTATGCAGTGGCCTAGGAGAGGTTCGACAATCTTATTGTATTAAGCTCAAACCCAATGCTGTGCCTTTCTCCTTGAAAACCCCAAGGAGGACTCCCCTACCATTGATGGGGAAAGTCAAAGATGAGCTTCAACGCATGGAAAACTTGGGAGTAATCACTCGTGTGGAAGAACCTATGGACTGGTGTGCAGGCATGGTAGTGGTGCCCAAGAAGGACAGCAAAAAGGTGCGTTTGGGTGTGGACCTGACTGGCTTGAACAAGTATGTGTGTCGTGAAAAATTCATTTTACCATCAGTAGAACAGAGTCTTGGAACACTAGCTGGTGCTAAAATGTTCAGTAAATTAGACACCAACATGAGGTTTTGGCAGATACCCCTCACTGAGGATTCAGCAAAGTATACCACATTCCTTACACCCTTCGGGCAGTTCCACTTTAACCATCTTCCATTTGGCATTGCCTCAGCACCCGAACATTTCCAATGTATGATGGCGGAAGTTACACAGGGGCTGGAAGGTATAGTTTGCCACATTGATGATCTACTAGTGTGGGGACGGGACCAAGAAGAACATGACAATCGACTCCATGCAGTGCTAAAAAAACTGGAAAAGGCGGGAATCACTCTGAATGTGGATAAGTGTGAACTCTCCAGGAGTGAGGTGGTCTTTTGGGGTCACATCATCTCTGATGCAGGGATACGACCTGACCCAAGGAAAACAGAGGCTATCAGAGGTATTAAGGAGCCCTCTAGTGTGAACGAACTGAGGAGTTTTCTTGGCATGGTAAACCAACTGGGGAAGTTCATCCCTCAGTTGGCAGAAAAAGACAAGCCACTTCGTGATCTCCTTTCTAAGAAAAACTGTTGGGTTTGGGCTGTGGAACAGGTCAGGGCATTTAAGACATTGAAAGATGCTTTGTCTTCCCCTCCGGGGCTGGCCATGTATGATCCGAACGTTGGAGACCAAACACTAGATCTTCTACCCTTGAGAATTCAGCGATTCAGGATGAGGCTCATGCGTTACTCTTACTACATTGTGCATGTGCCTGGAAAGTCACTTTGGACAGAAGACACATTGTCACGTTCGCCTATGGACTCTCACATGTCCAAAGCAGAACTGGAGCTGATGGAAAGCACTAACATATATGTGGACTGTGTAGTAGACACCTTTCCTGTTAGCCACACACATATGGAAATCATAAAAGAGCAGTTGCAAGCTGATAGTATTTGCTCTCGAGTCATGAAATTGTGTGCAGATGGATGGCCAGTGCATGCAAAACAGGAACCTGCACCGAGAGGATACTGGCCAGAACGAGCTACACTCACTGTACAAGATGAATTACTACTGAAAGACACTAGGCTTGTGATCCCATCCACTCTGAGGAATGAGGTGTTGGAGGGGCTACATGAAGGACACCAAGGGGTGGTAAAATGCAAAGAACGTGCTTGTCAGTCTGTGTGGTGGCCAGGACTCAGTCAGCAGGTCAATGAAATGGTGCTCAAATGCAGGACATGTATTCAAGAGTGTCAGAATCCTAAAGAGCCACTCATGACATCTGAGTGCCTGGAAAGACCATGGCAAAAGTTAGGGACTGACATGTTTGTACTTGGAAGGAAAACATACTTAGTTGTGATAGACTATTTCTCCAGATATGTCGAGATTGCACTGCTATCGAACACTAAGTCAACTGATGTCATTGTCCATCTGAAGTCAATCTTTGCCCGGCATGGGATTCCAGAGGAGTTGATGTCAGACAATGGACCACAGTTTTCTGGCCAAGATTTCTTTCATTTTGCATCCACATATGGGTTCAAACACGTTACCAGCAGTCCAAAGTTTCCACAAAGTAACGGATAAACTGAACGTGCAGTTCAGACAGTGAAAAGTCTCTTGAAAAAGGCTAGTGACCCTTATCTGGCCCTGCTTACCTACAGAGCTACAACTCTCCAGAGTAGGTTCAGTCCGGCTCAGCTGCTTATGGGGCGACGTCTTCGTACCACTGTGCCGACTCTTCCCTCTCAGCTAGACCCAGCATTGCCAGATGTTGACCATTTTGCTCGTAAAGAGAGAGAAAAGAGGAAAATGAATACTGAATACTACAACAGGAGACATCGTGAAAAACCTTTTAGTGATTTGGTACCAGGAGAGCATGTATGGGTCACTGATACAAAAGAATCTGGGACTGTGCTGCAGAATCACACGAGTCCAAGGTCATATCTGGTGGATGTACCTAAAGGTGTGGTGAGACGCAATAGTCAGCACTTGATACCCTTACACACACATGTAAATGAAGGAGGAGCGGTGGAGCAGCAGGAGTTGCCAGACAAACAGTGAACAAGTTTCTACATCACCTGGGAAAATACTTAAAAACTTTCCTAGTGTGACAGCTACCCCAAGGACAAGAGAGCTATAGTTAAACCAGAGAGACTGAATCTGTGAACTGAGAAAGTGAAAAAGAGTTAATGGTGATGTGTAGTTCAGTAAGAAATCTGAGATGCAGAATAGTTTAAACACAGTTAGGTGTATTGGATTAGTGAATAGTTATATGATAACATTTTCTTCCCTACAGGATTTAGATAGGAACAGACCTTCAACAAAAGAGGCAGAATAATCCTCTAAGGTCTGGTGAGACAAAGTTAGTTGTTGTCTAGAAAAGGGAGATGTGGTGTAGGGTAAATGGAACCTGTTGATGTTTAACTGTGAAGAGGAACCAATGTTAGACAGAGAGTAGTGAGGGACATATTTTGAGGTGACACAGTATGAAGGAACCGGAAGGGAGGAGTTAAGAAAAATAAAGCAGTTTGTGTGCAGAGAACTCACGTGTTAGGAGTATTATTACAAAATATGACATCCTGCACCACATGGGGGTGGTTGCCCTCTCTGGGCTCTGGAGGCTTTCCTCAAGCCTCCAGGAGGGTGAAAATGCACCCCCTGGATCCAGAGGCCTTCCCGAGACTGGAAACAGCCCATTTCTGGCCTTCTGGAACTTCGGGGGGGGGGCATTTTTCACCCTCCCCAGACTCCGGAGGTTTTCCTTAAGCTTCTGGGAGGGCGAAAACAGCCTCCCACAGGCTCTGGAGGCCAGTTTTTCACCTTCCCCAAGCTTCTGCACAGGCCCTGCACTTGCCTGGCATCCAAAACAGGCCACATGGGGACTCCTGGAAGGGGCAGGGTGGGGTGGGGTGGGGTGGGGTGGGCCGTGCCAGCCAGGTGTGGGATTTGCCAGTTCACCAAACCAACCATAAAATTACCTACAGGTTCACCTGAACCTCTTCTTCAGGGAGAACCGGTAGCAGCCCACCCCTGGGTGTTCCCCAAAACACCTAGATACCTGCTTGCTCTCAGTGCTCTCAATCACATTTTGCCCATTGAGTTTGGCCTTCTCCATAAGCCTATTATAGATACATTGCTTTGTTCACAACTGCAAGTTAAATCATGATTTTGTAAAGGGAGATTTTTCTCTTCACAACTTTCCCTATACCCAGACTTACAGTCTAGGTCACGGGTGTCAAACTTGCTGCATCATGTTGCCATCACGTGACATTTCACGGTGTTTTTTCCCATTCGTGAAGCTGGGGAGGACGTGGCCTGTGCATGACGCATCTGGCCCGCAGGCCACCAGTTTGACACCCCAGGTCTAGGTAATAGACTCATTTTGCATTGGTGTCTCGCCCCCAGACTCATACAATATGATTCCCTCTACTGATCAGATCAGCTAGCTAAAGGTCCTTCAAGACCATCAGAAGAAAGGTGGAGAATTCTGACTAATGCCTAAACCTCACAAGGCTCTTCTATCTAGATAAGGATAAAAGTGGAATCTATTGAATGTTTGTGGCGTTCTTGAAGGGGATAGTAATAATAAAGAAAGAAATGTAGTAAAATATATTATAGCATTAAGTAGAGAGTTACTCTATAGGCATTTGTTATCTTGCTGTTAGGCATTTGTTTTCTTGTATATGTTGAAGTATTTCTGTTATTTATCACTCTTAGGCATTTCTTATCTTGCTGTTGTAAAAAAGATTTCCTTAACCTTTCACTTGTTGTACAACAATTATAAACACATGCCTGCAATCAGTTACACCCCTCTTCTATTAAGACACATGATTCTCCCATCTAAATCAATCTGAATCCATCTGATACATTTCACCCCCTTGGGAAGGTAACATACTTCTCTGGGAATGTAAAGATAAACATTGCCGGAGTGAAATCTATCTGTTGCAGGAAGATGTAAATCTTAGTTAGATTACATGACTAGAGATTTACAAGGTAATTAGAGAACTAAGAACAACGACAAGGCATCTTTCTGTATTTTGCAGGATTTTCCTCCCATGTCTCTTGTGATGTGCTAGGAACTTCTTCCCAGATCTTTAACTTTGATCAAAGAATAAAAGTTTGCTTTCTTTGATTTACAAGCCTCCATTTAAGTCTTTGTTTTGGTTCATTTTTACCTTACATTCTTTTTTTTTTAAGAGTTTTTATTTTTTTTAAACAAACATACACATACAAAACATAAAAACATAAAACCATCTTCCATTTTATATACATACAGTGTGTCAGTTGGTTACGTATCTTTTGTAGTCATTACTCACAGTTTATATCAATTTTCACTTTGTCAAACTAACATATGCTTATATATTTATCGATTATTAACCATCCATGACTAAACTATTTATTCCATCATTTTATATGAGATATTCCAAATTTTATCGTAAAATTTATGTTATACTTTCAACCAATGGTTATATATGTCTATATTATGTTTTATATCAGTCTATTAAATTTCTATCACAGAATTATCTAGTCTATTACATTACCATGTCTTTTTATCCAACCATTGATAAAACAAATCCCATATCATATAAAATTGTTTATCTTCTTGTTCTCTAATTTCAAATGTCAATTTACTCATTTCAGCACAGTCCATAATTTTCTTAATAACTTCCTCCTGCATAGGTATTTTATCGTTTTTCCAATTCTTAGCAAATACAATCCTAGCTGCCGTTAAAACATTTACAATCAAATACTTCAACTCTTTGTTATATATTTCTGGTATAATTCCCAATAAAAAGATCTCTGGTTTAAAGTCTATATGTTGTTTTATCATTTTTTCCAACCATGTGTTAGTCCAATTTTTTTTGCGTCCAAGAATGTCTACCACATATGGTAATATGAACCAGGTATCTGATGACATCTCCAACATTTATCCGATTTATTCTTAAACATTCTTGCAAGTCTCATTGGGGGTAGATGCCACCTGTAAAACATCTTATACAAATTTTCTTTATATGCAGTTAACATTGTCATTTTATAATTTTGAGACCACAATTTTTGCCATTTTTCTAAATCAAACCCATATCCAAAAAAATTTCCCCAAGCAACCATCGTTTCTTTAACTTGTTCCTCCTCCAATTTAAATTCTAATAAATGTCCATAAAGTTTTTTAATTACTGTCATACCCCTGGTGGAGACTGACTCTGAGGAAGAGGAGGAACAGCCAACAGGGAGTGGGAGTGTGACTCCAGAGGTGGTGGAGGAGGCTGGGGAAGGGCAGAGGCCGGCTGAGCAATCAGAAGAGGATCCAAGCCTATCCCCTATCCATCCTAGGGCACGCAGAGAGGAGAGGATCAGGGAAAAATGAGGTCTATTCAGGAGGAGATTACCATGATTCTCCTTGTGGCTTGCAGCTGGGAGCTATGTATATAAGTTTGTAACTGTGTAATCAGAATTGCTGGAGTCAAAGTTTAGTGTTTTGTTTGAAAGAGGTTTATCTTTGCTGGCGTTCTTCCCATGGACTCTCCTCAGGTATCTTCCTGGAATGTATGATTAATTATCTTGGCTTGCTTCGGAACTCTCGTCAATGCGGTTTGTTTTGGTTTTCTTTTTGCCTCATTATTTACTTTTGTGACTTTAAGCTGTGCCCAATAAAACAGTGAAGTTAAGTTGAAGGCCTTACCGGACTTTAATGTATGTTTTGGGTTTTGGGTTATTTTGAGAGACTCACAATTACCTTTTCATCAGTACCCATCAAGATTTTATCTAAATCAGTCAACTTATATGAAAAACAGTTCATTTTAACACCTTGTTCTTCCAACGCTTGCATAGATTTAAGTTCACCCTTTTCATTCAATATCTCACCATATCTAACTGTTTGTTCCTTTTTATATTTTATTGGATAAGGAAAAGCTTCAATGGTAGATATCCATAATGGAATTTTTAAATAGTATTGTCTTTTTATCTTCTCCCAATTCAAAAACAATGCCTCTCAAATGTAATCTCTTCTAAAATACCCCTGCGTTTTAGTTCCCTTGCACCAAAGGAAGGCATGCCATCCCAACAGCAAGTCATGCCCTTCTAAGGTCAATAGTCCACTGTTCCTTAATGTTATCCATTCCTTTACTCACATCAGATTTGTCGCCTGGTAATACAACTCCCAATTGGGCAAGGCAAACCCTCCTCTTGTTCTTGCATCTTGTAACAATATGGTGTTTTATTCTTGCTTTTTTGCCCTGCCAGATATATTTCAACACAATTCTATTTAGGTCTTCAAAAAACTCTTTCCCTAGTCAGATTGGGATTGTCTGGAATAGATATAAAATTCTAGGCAATACATTCATCTTAATTGTAGATATTCTCCCAATCAATGATAATTGTAAATTTCCCCATTTTGTCAAGTCTGTCGCAATCTGCTGTTTGAGTTTAAGGTAATTATCCTCTTTCAGTGTGCTACATCTTGGTGTAATATATATCCCTAAGTACTTAACCTTGTTTGTGACCTGTATTTCTAAAACTTCTTCCAACTCTTTCTTTCATCTTGCTAACATATTCTTTGTTAATATATTTGTTTTATCTTTATTTATTTTCAAACCTGCTACTTCTCCATATTCTTCTATTTTTTCTATTAGTTTAGGTGCTGTTTCCAATGGGTCTTCTAATATGAATACCAGGTAATCTGCAAAACCTTGCAATTTATACTCTTCCTTTTTGATTTTCATTCCTTTCATTTCTTTGTCTTCTTTAATATTTCTATTCAACACTTCCAATATTAACACAAACAGCAGGGGCAACAGTGGACAACCTTGCCTTGTCCCTTTTCTTATATCTATAGATTCTGTTAGTTCTCCATTTACCATAACCTTTGCAGTTTGTTCATGATATATTATTTCAATGGCTTGAATAAATTTTTTACCAAAGCCCATTTGTGTCAATTGAAATAAGATGAATTGCCAACTCACATTATCAAAGGCTTTTTGTGCGTCTAAAAACATCAAGGCCATTTGCTTTTCAGGATGCGCCTCATAGTATTCCAGAGTATCCAAAATAATTGTCACATTGTCTTTGATTTGTCTCTTTGGCAGGAATCCATTTTGATCAATATGGATAAAATTATTTAAATATCTTTTTAGTCTTTCTGTCAAAATTGAAGCAAAAATTTTATAGTCTGAGTTTAATAGGGATATAGGTCTGTAATTTTTAACTTGCTGCATGCCAGACCTTACATTCTAAAGGAAGCTGCATTTGCTGAGCTAGGATTACAATATCACATTGATTCCAAGAATCTGTGCTGCAAGATGATGAGAATAAATTGCAGAAGGGGATTCCTTTATTTCTTAGTAGATAAAGAGCAAAGAAGTCCGATGTTGGATTGCTGAAAGGAAGTTACAGGAACCCAAAGAAAATTCAAGAAAAACAGATGGAAAAAGGCTGAATTGGTGGGGAAAGGAACCAAGAAAGGGATTAGGGAGGGTTACTGGATGACGAAAGAATATAAACAAGGCAGTATGATTACTGGAAATCAGAATAGCTGCTGGAAGCAAACGATAAGGCAACAAAAATAAAATCAGGCTGAGTTCACCCGTTGTACAGGCTACAGTTTACTTGAGCATGATTTAATATTGACCAGATCCACATATCCTAAGTCACACCCCATCAATCACAAAAAGGCCTGACAAAAACAAACAAATGCATTATGGGTTAGCACAGACAGAATCCAACAGACTGTAACCTAACAAGAAGGTGGAAAAACTAAAGGAGAAACAGAACTATTGTGTAGTCCAAACCTTCCACAGTGTGGAAGACTTTCAATGAATGTGTTCAGGGGCTAGTTAGCTGAGAAATCAAAATGTAAAGTCCCCGTCTCCCCCAGAGCTCAGGATTTCTTTTCTTAGCAACAGAAGACAATTTAGTCCAGGTTGCCAGGAAGGAAGGCACTCCATATCTGCAAATGCATATTTCCCAGCCCAGCCCTGCACTGTTTGTTGTTCTTAGGAAAGGCAGGAAAATGGGCCCCCAGAGCTATTGTTTGTGTCTTTGAATTGGTTCTCTTCCCAGCAGAGTTGGCTGGAATACAAAGTTTAATGCCTGCAAGTGATGGCCCTCTTCTGGGTTTCTACCTTTTAACCTTTGAATAGTTCCTGTAATACTCAAAACCCAAGAACCAGATCTCAAATGCCTGCAAGTTACATGTTATGACCGGTCCTTCTTTCTATTTCTTAGCAATGCCATCAATAGACGTGGTGACTCTTTTGTCAGCTTCTCCCAATGCATGCTTCCTCTTTGCTCAGGTTGTATTTTTTTCCCAATATGTTTTTATTTTTTTAAATCAAAACATTAAAATACAAATGGCAAAAAAGAGAAAAAAATACAAAATGAAGCAAAACTAAACAAAACAAGGAAAGAAAATAAATGTGGCATAAAAAGAAAAAAAAACATAAACATAATTTCTCCCCCTTTTAAACACCAACATAAATATATTTAAAAAATAATAGTTTGCTCTTCTCAGGTAAGTTCATAGTTCTCTGAAGGTTGCCTGGGGTCATTCCTAGTAGCTCCAGTTCAAATTTTGTCAGCAGGAGAGAAAAATTGTCCTGTCACTTAACGTGCCATCTTCAAAGGACCACCCACTCCATTTGCATTTTTCTACAATATATATTTACACTTGAATGTTCCAATATTCTCTTCGGTCTTGTTGATAATTCTCCAGTTTATAATTTTTATGTTCCTTCAAGCAGCCAATGGCTGCCTTGCCCACCATATTAAAAACATCCGAGCAGTTCTGGCCCTAATAAATTACATAAAATTCTGTTGAATAACCTTACCATATAAATGTTACTTGGTTTGCTTGTTCAGCCATTCAGTCATTTCCATTTTTTTTTTTTTACTATTTGTCTTGGGACTGCCATATAACTTGGGTGAAATAAAAAATTCCATTAACTTTGTGAAAATCAAGGAGCAATATTTGTAAAGGTATTCAGCATGATTATATTATTTACAATACCAAGCAACAGCAAATAAAACAGTTTTAGAAGCCCGAATAAAGTAATCTCTACATCAGCTATTCTGATGAAAAATTGTAGGCAGTTGGAGAAATTTGGTGAGTACAATTCTGACTTCTCGGGTTTATGTCCATGGCATTGTTCTTCTTCAGATCATTATTGAAATTGATAAAATAAATAAATCAACCATTTAAAAAAAAACTGCAGAATATCTTATCATAGAAAACCATGCCCTGTCATCATATTTTATTGAAATCTGCCCCTTAATGAGTGCTTTTTTAAACATACACGTGACAATAGAAGCTACAAAGAGGTCATTCTTTAAATTTAAAGCTGAATAGTCACACATCCCAAAGCAGAACCTAAATGTTGGTGTCAATGGAAAATGAGCTGCCACAAAAGTGAATCACCCTTTACAACCCCTTCCCACCTACATACAACCAAGAATAATTCTTCTCAGGCCCCAAACCAGTGGTCAAAGGTGATATTGGATTCTGAGGTGGCACAACACTTCAGGTGTTACATGGATGCTGCTCTGGTCAGCAGCCTCAACAGCTGAAGAAGAGAACAGACAGAAGAAAAGGAAAGGAAGAGGGGAAGGAGTGCCTTCCAAAAAGGAAGATATTGCCATGTTTAATTGGTAGAAAGTTGGGTTTTTTAATGTGTAATTTATTATTATTGTACTATGTGCAGTCTCTTAGATTCAGTCAGCATATTAAAGCCGTTTAGTTTGGTTTGATTTGACTTGAGGTTTAGGTTGGTTTGGGCTGGTTTGATATGAGCATTATTTGGTAGTGTCACTGTGCTCTGTGCATGCCTTTCACCTCAGTTTACATGCTATGAGGGGTCCATCTTGCTGTCTTTATCAAGGTCCCTTTCCATCTTAAATACATTCCCAATCAGGTATGAGGGTTCCTTGGTGCTCTCTGAGTTTGGTTGTTTTCTTGAAGGTGTTTCATTATCCAAACTAGGTAGCATCATCAGTGCATTGACCAGCACTGATGAGGTAACCTAGTTTGGGTAATGAAACATCTGCAACAAAACAAGTGAGCTCAGAGAGCATCAAGGAACCCTCATTTCAACCCTGAGCTATTAATGTTCTTCTTTATCTGATCAGGTATTTGGGGATGTTTGTTTGTTTGTTTGTTTTAAAGGATTTACCAAAATCTTTTTTTTTTTTTTTTTGTAATACACATGGGCAATTGACAAAGTTGCCCATGTGCAGCCCTGGATCCATCTTACGATATGGACTCCTTCAGCAACTCCAAAGCATTCGCCATTCATTTTAGCAGTGCAGGAACACCCACTTTTAAGTCTGTTGTAGCTTTAATAACTGGTCAGGTGTCAGGTTTTCAAGCCCCAGTGGCACTGTGAGTGATGCCATAATCAGCACCTGCCACAATTCCCTCTTCTCCATAATTCTTCCAGTCAAGCGGGTTGGTCAGCATTGTGAACAGAGACCCAGGGAGGCAATAGATGACGTCGTTTTGAAGGATGTGTAGGATGTTTGAGCATTCAATGAGGAAAGCCATCCTTTCCTGGGGGTAGAGGAACCCTGGCACATAATCCTACTATATAGGGCAGCTGGGCAGCTCCATCTCCTCCCTGCAGTATATAAAGAACCGTGTTAGGTATCCCCTATCATCATTACAGTTTTGAAATGAAGACTTCCTACTTAGTTTTTCTTTTTCTCGTTGTTGCAGTGGCGAGGAGCAATGCTATTGTCTTTGACATATGCAGCTTTTCAGCCATCCTGAAGGAAAATGGATTGGAGGGATTTTCAGGCACCACCATCGCAGAATGTGAGTGTGCTTTGTTTTGTTCTGCTTGTAGTCACCTCAATTATTCTAAAATATCCCAATTCTCACCAGGAGTTAGTATATTTAATGCCCTTGGTGTATTTGTAATATTGCTTGCCTCTTTTCAAAACACAATCTGTTAACATGCTGTGATCCTGAAATAATGCTTTTTCTGAAATGTCTTTAAGGCAGCTATATAGATCCATTCAGCCCAACTCTCTTGATAGTAGATAACTAAAGCAATAGAATTCTGAAGGATAGAGAGCTCATTCATTCTTTGGGCTATAAGTTGCTTTCTCCTTCCGTAACTGGTGCCTGCTATAGCTCTTTGATGGGAAATGCTAACTCAGACCATCAAACAATTTTTTGAGCCTGCTTTCCTTCACCTCCAGGGATTTGTTTGGTGTTTCACAGCAGTGGCTTTGATACCTCAGCCCTCAATGTGGGACCAAGGGCCACCAATCATGGGATCTTCTTGCTAAGCGCTAAGTGGTGGTGTGACGATTTCAAGACACCACATGCACGCAACTATTGCAACTTAAGTTGTGAAGGTAAGGAATCATGACTTTCCTTTGCTAATAACATTTGGCAGAAAATCAAAGAATTTATTTATAAATTCATTTATAAAATTACCTTTTATATAATAAAGGAGATGAGACACCTTGCTTAGTATCCTTCTCAAATTCTTTCATTTCATCTAGTGTCAGCTATTTCTTAAATTCAACACCAGAACTTGTGATGGCAAATTCTACCATGCTACATGAAAAATATTTCTTTTGTCTGTCCTGATTTTTCCAGGATTCAATTTCACAGGACAACATCTGGACCTTGTGTTTTAAGAGAAAATTAGCTTCTCCTTACCTATTTTAACTTCTCCTTAGCTACTTTATTCATATTTGTGTAATTTTATAAGTCTCAATCCTGTCTTCTCTCATTCAGCTCCTTTCTAAATGAAAGAGGCCCAAAAATCACAACCTTTTCTAATAAGGAAGTTGTGCTAGTCCCTGGATCACCTCAATTTCCCTCCTCTGAAACTGCTTTAAAGTTGACAGTGACCACACAAAATCCAGACAAGATGCCCCATTGATTAATATAAGAATATTGAGTATATTGGCATCTCTTTTCCTTTATTTTATTTAGTTTTCTTGTATTCTTTTCAAAGGCTACCTCCTCCAAAATATTCACTCAGAAGCACTCCTCTTGTTTTTAACTTCTTATCTCTCTCAAAACTAACAATATCCAAAGCTTACAGAGTCAAATTCATTGACTTTCATGGGGCTCTAGCAGTCAGCAAGGACTGAATAGGCTTTCAAAAAGAGAATATACCTCACTGCAAATCTGGAGACATTGGGATACTCTACTATGAGAATTATCGTACTTTTGCACAGTCCAACATTGTAACCCAACTTTGAGTTGGGTTTGCATATTAATGTTTATACATTGATGGGTTTACACAATACATTGATCTAAGCCAGGTTTATTATAACCATGTTTGCTCAGTAAGTCATTGGCTAGGTTCATATATAATGGGTTAGAAAATTGGATTGCCAAACCAGTGGCTGAGTGGAGTCACGCAACATCCTACATTAAGCAACCAGATTAACTATATATTGGCATAGGCAAAGTATGAACGTATTCAAGAATCAATTTGCTTTACTTTTCTTTACTTAGTACTTCCTTGGACTTTAATGATAACTATTTATTTATTTTATCTATCATCTGTCTGTCTATCTATCTATCTATCTATCTATCTATCTATCTATCTATCTATCTATCTATCTATCTATCTATCTATTTGATTTATATTGCCGCCTACTTGCCCATGGCGAATATGCTCAAGTAAACTATGCTCAAGTAAACTTCAATTCTCCCATTCTTTTCTTCTTCAGCCCTACGGGATGATAACATTACTGATGATATCCAATGTGCCAAGAGAGTTGTTGAAAAAAGCAAGGGCTTTGCAGCATGGTAAATGAATTGTTATATTCTTATTTACTCTGTTATCAATCACATATACTGGGAAGGAAAGTAAGGTACCTCTGGAAGAAAACTGCCATGAATCTTTATTCACTGGAAAGGTATATATGTTGCCTGGATAGTTCCATAAAAGGCTAAAGTTTGTAGTGATTATTTGTGGTTGCCATTGTGTCAAGCCCGAAATTGCTCCTATTCTCCAAAAAAGGCAGGAAAGCAAAAATAGAACTTACTCCTAAAGCCATGAATTGTGCTTGCTTCTCCTTTAAATGTTGCCTTCTTGACTTTTGCCTACACTTAAAGTAAAATAAAGCAAGAAGGGCAAATTCATTCAAGAAAGCTCATCAGAGGAGAAGGAAAGTACTGCCATCAGATTGATTTTGGCTAGAACATTATTGTAGTTTTTCTAGCCTGGCATTCTCCAGAAAAGTTTGGGATGCAACTCCCAGAACTCTAGAGGTCATCCAACATTTTTGGATCTGAGACTGGAGTCATTTGTTCACCTGCCCTAGCAGGCAAAATGTCAACAGTGAATACAACTTAAGGGAGAGAAATCCTGTCCTCTGTGTGAAGGCCTTTTTCTTGGTGGCATCCATTTCCCTGTGCAGAATCCAGGAAATAATTACATTTGTTTCTCCTGTGATGAACAAAGCAATCTCTATAGGACAACAGAGGACATCATTACTTTGTCCAGAATTGCACGCTCTTCTCAGTGGAGCAAGAAAGCTTTTGGCTGCCAACATCAGCATTTCAAGGGGAAAATTATTTTTTAAAAGTCTATTGATACGCTTATTTTAGGACTTACACTGCAATTATCAAGTGCTTCTCAGCTCAGAATAGGAAGTTGCACTATCAGTTTTCAGCAGTCATGACCATATGGACTGTAAAAAAAAACCCAAAAGGGGATTGAGAGATTGTTTGAGACCCTGGAGCTATAAGCTGCCCACCCCTTCTGCATATCATATTCAGTGATGGTAGAACAGAAAGATTTGTTAAAGGAATGGTATGAATTATGGAGGGATGAAACATGATGCCTTGATTACTAGTACAATTTGGCAGTTATTTGGGGGCTCAAGCTTCCATGTGGCAACATTCATACTTTTGTCTTCCCAAGTACAGTACGTGTCTAGTCAACTGAATGGCAACAATATTCTGACCAGAGAGTTTTCATTATAGGGCTGCCTGGAGGATACACTGTAAAGGACAAGATCTGAAGAAATATATTGCAGGCTGTGACCTGGAAGAAGTCACCTCTTCACCACCAGTCCCAGAAAAAATCTTTACTAGTGACCAGAGGCCAAAGACTATACATCCAGGAGTAGATATTCTGACTACTCCTTTCCGAGACATGCACCCTGAAGAACCTACTCTCCCATTTAAAAAGTGGTCTAATTCTGAGAATCCAGCCATGGGTTCTTCAAAGCCTACAGCTTCTATAAGGGAGTTCCCAAATACCACCTTCCTGTCTGAGAATCTTCCAAAATCTAACATTTCGGTCAAAGAACCTCCAGGATTCATCCTTTCGACGCATAGTCCCTTAAAACCTTCTGTTGCATTAGGGGAAGTCCTAAATTCAATCCCACCCAAGATTCCTCCAAAACCTATGGCCTCCATCAATGAGACTTCAAACTCCACCCTCCAAGCAGTTGATCCCAAAAAATATTCAGTCCCATCACATAACGAAACAGAACCCAGCATTTTTTAACCACGCATACAAGAACAAGTAGTAAAACTAGCTTAAAAAAAACAACTATTGTAATAAAGTTGCCATGAATGTGCAATGAAATTGCACAATTTTTCCTAGCAAGGATTCATAGTACTCTTATTTGGGGATAGTGGTGTCATTTAATTATTATACTCTTCATTTATAAGTGATACTTTATACATGAAAATAATATTCTCAATAGAATTAGATAAACTGATATGGTTAGAAAAAGCAAGGCTGTGTATAGTATGAAAACATATGACATTGCTTTAAATAAAAAAATGCAAAACTCTGAACATTGTTGGATCATCAGTTATCTAATATGACTATTAAATTTTCAATTATCCCAACATTGACATATCTTGATGTGAGTATAAACAAATAATTATACCAATTAAAATTATTTCATATTTATATCTTACAAATATAAAAGAATTTTAATTTGTTTAATTATGTTATGGCTAAAATTCATTCAAAAACAGAAGAGATATCTTCTGTTAATGGCATCTGTCCACCTTACAAAATAGGAAGGGTCACTGCTGTAAAACAGATGAAATTCATCCTGGAAACAGTTAACCTTTGATAGCAGGGCAGTTAAGACCAACTTTAGAGGACTTGAAAAACTCTTTGCTTGGGAAGAAATCACGATGGGAGATCATGCAGTTTCCATGCAAGAGGGGAACAGAAAGGTAGGTTGCAATAGTAATCTCAGAGTAGCTGGTAACTTTCCCCACACTAAAATTCTGAAGAAAAATTTCCAGCTTTTCATCATGGCAAAATGTTGCCAGAGTTTAGTGATTGTGCTAAAGGCCATCTGCAACCCGGGAGAGAAAGATCAGTATAGGAAAGGTCAGTATAGGAGAGGACAGAAACAAAATCATTGTATAAATTGTAGAAAGTTAGCACACACCCCTCTCCTAGAAGAATGAAATATTCTAGGAAATATTAAAAAGGCAGAATATTATACCTCACTGGATGAGAAAATGAGAAACATGTTCTTGGAAAGCAGCCCCTACTTTTGTTAATAACCCCAGAAAGACTGAGCCATCCTATCTACAAGACAAAAGACATTTCGCTCCAGGGGGATAGGGTTAGCCCACACTCAGATCCAAATCAGGACAAAGCCATTAAGCCATAATAGGAATTGCCCAAAGCTCCTTCATTACATCACTCAGTAAGATTCAACCAAGCTGGGACTCAAGACAACCTACAAAGTTACCCCTGCATGGCCCCATGGGAGTCTGACAACCAATCAGGATACATTTCTTGCCACAGGAACAGGAAGCAAGTTCAAAGCCCAAGAGAGGGTATAAACGCTGTGTTTTTGCCCAGGACCTCAAAACCATGTGGTCCTGTCCACCATTAAACCATCCTTTTAAGCAGTCTCCATGCTTCCAGCGTCTTTCTCCACACTTGGAACTGAACCCCGATAAACATTTCTTCCATCAAAATAATGTGTGTCTGTGAAACTGATATTGAAAACAACATGTTCCATGGAATTAGTGGAAAAACTAAAGGTATGCCCTCTGTTTGACTCCATTTTAGAATGGTGAGTAGTGAAGAAAGTCATCCCTTGGGATGCAAATAGGTATTTTCTGGAAGCATCATAATCTGTTGAAGGAGCAGGTGAAGATCTAGATTACCAGCTGTGAGTTTCCTCCGTGACCACATTGGCAGCTAAAAAGAGCAAAGGTCCTGACACACATCACAGCCCAGAGTTGCTTTGTGAGGGCAATGAATGGATGGTTGGTCTTTGATCTTAATTAAATTAATGACCGGTTTCTTTTATCATTTAATATATGTTTCTGTAAAGTTTCCTTCTCTAGATCTGTTCCACCTTTCTTCAAATGAGCATGAAGCACCAGCCAAAGTAGACTAGGTGAGGTTTAAATCATGCAGAATACAAAGTGGATCCATCCAGCAGCTTGGAAGCAATGGATCTGTTAATGCAGCTTAAAGCTGCCTCAGCACCCCCATTTTTTCCTCCTTTGCTAACTGTACACTTCTGTCCTATAATCAGACAGGAATAGATACTTAAATTATCCTCTCATGCAATTTCCACGATCACAATCCTTCATCCCAGACCCAGGCAATTTTTTTACACAAATGTAAATACATCTCACTTAATTTTTTAAATTATTTCAATTCATTTTAAGATCTGTTCCTCAATTTTCCCTGGTATTAGAGGAATGTCTATAATGTTCTGGAACCTCTAGATGGCAGTATTTGAACGTCTTTAATCTTACACTGGATGACCCCAGTAATTACAACAGTTGCACTTCTGTTCCCAAATCGGTTGGATACTTTGCATTTTCTGTGAGAATAAAAGGCCAATAACATTTAGTATCACCAATATCAAACAAAAATGTGTATTAATCTAAGACTGTTAGATATTTCTGGCCATATCCTGATCTTTCACTATTCAAATTACTTCTGCAAGATTGGATTGTTTCCCTTTTAAGAGAAAAATGGGGAAAATCTAATTGGTATCATTTGTTAATATTTTATTGTACTTAGTGAGGAAGGAGCCAGAGTCGGCAAACTTTCTAAGTACCAAAAATGAATATTAAAAATGACAACACAGGACTTCCAAACCTGAAAAACCTCTGCACTCCCACCTGAATTTTCATAAACAACCAACATCCATTTAACAACATTTTTTGTTATGAGGGTTTGTGGACGCTGCCTAGGAATAGTATGGATACCATAATGTCTGGTTCTGAGTTAGACCATCATTTCATCCTCTCAACTCCATAAACTCATATACAATCATTTGTGCCTCAGGATTAGCTCATACAAGTGGACAAAAGATGTCCACACATACATACATTCATGTTAGAAAGATGTTTGTTTAAACAATACTGCCTTCTAAACAGTAAGTTATGTGCATCAACGTAGCATACATCTGAGTTTGTGAAATTTGAAACTGATATGTATTTTTAACCTCTGAAACTTGGAAATGCATATCATATCATAACGATGTTAAGAACGTTACGGGAGGGGACACTAGGAAACTTCTAGAACTTGGAGGTTGCCATGGAAGATGGGCCTTATCAGAACAATACATCAGAGGACAAAAGCCTTTGTGTACAGAATCTTCTATTTCTGGGAAAGGCACAGACTGGATGTCATCTGAGATCTGAGAAGGTGCCTGCAAAACCAACATAGGACCCGAGGTCAGGTGCAGTTGAGAGAAAAGTCTTGAGAAAAGCCATGTTTTTTAGAAGAAAAAAGGAAACTATGTAATACACATTTTTGTATTAGATTTGGGAAGAATCAGACCTGGAACGGCACAAAAACGGCATTGGTTGCACTGTTGGATATCTGGTGTGAATGTGGTGTATTCATCCTTCCCTTACTTGACCTCTCAGTTGCTTTCAATACCATCAACCATGATATCCTTCTGGATCAACTCAGAACAGATTTGGGGGTGTGTGTGGGGGGTGGAATATTGTGCTTGTTCACCACCCCTTCTCCAAGAAGAGATCCCACCTTCCACCCCTATTGTGTGGACTGCCACAGGGATTCTCTCCTCTCCGTTCCAGTCCTCTCCTCTCCCCACTCCAGTCCCTTTCAACATCTACATCAGACCACAGGATAAATTCATATATTGCCATGGGGTGAGTATGCCAATGATAACCAGTTATATATCTCTGTCCACCGTGAATTAAATGGTGCCATGGATATCTTATGCCTGGGGGCTGTGGGGGGACTGGGTGGGGAGCAATAGGCTTCACCTGAACCCTGGCAAGACGGAGAAGCTTGGGATTTGGAGCTCTCTGGTTCTGGAAATACCCTTTGGTATTGGGTGGGTATGCATAGCCCCAAACAAACCCTGTGAGGAATCTGAAGGTCCTTCTGGTCTCACAATCTTTGCCTGACAGGTAGATGGCAGTTGGTAGTAGTTAGGAAGATCTCTGCACAACTTCATTTGTGTGCCAGTTGTGCCTGTTCCAAGATTGAGAGCCCTATTCAGTTACTCAAAACACCGATCACCTCCTGGTTGGACTGCTGTAATCTGCTCTGCACGGGGCTGCCCTTGAAGAGTACCCGGCAACTTCTCTGCTGCAAAATGCCGCAGGGCAAACAGTTCTGGGGGGGGGGGGGGGTGTTTGGAAGAAAACATTACACTTCCGCTGTAAACTGCATTGGTTACCAGTTTGTTTCAGAGTCCAGTTCAGGTTACCAGTGTTGACCTTTAAACCCCTACATGGTATGAGGCCAGGCTACCTGGGAGAGGATTGCCTCTTCCCAATTACATCTGCCCATCTCACCAGATCCAGAAAAGGCAGCACGTAACAGCACCTGTCATCTAGGGAATTACAGGCTTTGGGCACTAGGCATTGGGCCTTTCTGCTGTGGCATTGCATTGTGGAATATACTCCCCCCCTCCCCACAAGACGAGGCTGGCTCCATTACTGCTGACTTTCCAAAGGTCCCTCGAGATCTGATTGTGCTATCAGGCCTGGGTACCCCCCAAGGGCCTGGTGAACTAGTGAGGTGGCTCCATTATTATTAACATCCTCTTGCCCACTACTTTTTTTTTAAATCTTTGCTTTTATAGTTTGTAATTTTTTTAAAATCAAAATAATTATTTTTAATTAACCGTTCTAGTGATTGATGGCCCCCAGAGTCACTTGTTTTGTGAAATGGGCAATGCTATAACTTTGACAAATAAATAAACTCGCAAGACAAACGAAGAAGTTCTGTATCTGAAAAAAACCGAGGACTGTATTCAGAAAACATGATTTTGTGAGACCCCACAGTTGGATTTAAGAGAGCTGCCACCACTTTATGTAAGCTAAAAAAAAAGCCTCTCGGTACAATTCTGAGTCCATGGGCATTCAGCAGGGAATTTGTGAGTTGATGGTCAGTGAGTCACTCTTGCATACCTATTGAACAGCCATGAAAAAATAAAGGTATCGAGACGTAGGAGAAATTTACACAGCAGTCTTAAGTTACTCTTCTCCCCCATGTTCTCACAAACCAGTCTGAGGATTCTCACCTTGAACAGAAACAAGAACCAAAGATCAATTTGCTCTTTCAAATTTTTAATATGTTAAAAAAAATAGAAGCCAGTTCTGATTTGTTATTTCTTTGAGGATAGTTTCATTCTTATTCTTCTGAAAGAAAAATATCACACATCATGGAAGTCAGACAGACTGCAAAAGGCGTAGGGGAGGAGCAGATAGAGGGTGCTACTACCGCTGCTGCCAACTACACTGAAGGAAGACATGAAACAAAACAACAAGTTAGCAAGTGACATACAGCTATGGCTTCTGTAGAACTTCCCTGAACAGAACATGCCGGAATCTCTCAGCATATAGAATGGCAGCTCACCAACTTCTTCCCAGGCACCATTTACGGGACCATTCCTGCTCCCCAGAGCATAAGTCTTCCAGATCCTCAAGCAGAATTCCCCCATCCAAACCGCACAGCACAAAGCAAAAGAAAACATGTCTGAGGCAACAATTCAAGTTCTAAACAAATCGGGGAAAATGTCTGGACTATCGGGATTTGTTTGAAGAAGGAGATTCTATTGTAAAATCCCATTCTTCCTGGGTCTGGTGAAGATCGTACTGTAGATCTAAAATTCTCCAGGAGTGTGTTAGATATGACAGAATGGGACTAGGCAAGCAAAAACAATGGAAACAGGATCCCAAATGGATGCATTGCCCACCTCCACATGCCCATCCTATCAACCTATAATACTACGTTGCCAAACACATAAAAAAGTTTTAAAAGTGCACAAAACTGGTGGTCAGCCCAAGTTGCCGTCATACACGGTGTCCACCTGGTACTTCTCTAGCAGGAAATGAGTAAATGACTAAAAGCAAGACTGGAGTTTAGTTGCCAAAAGAAACCTCTCTGAACACCAGAAGTTACTGGGGGGAAGGGGGGGGGGGGGCTGTGGGGGGGGGGGGGGGAAGAAATCAGAAAAAAGACAAGAAGGAGGAATAAATCACTTCGTGCCAAGCTATTCAACATGAGGGGGGAAAAATAAAGCTATTTATGGCAAGGAATTATCCTTTCAGAAATCCAAGCCATGTCCAGTGTCAAAATTCAGCTCCAATTAACTGCCCATTCTCAGACCAGAGGGCTGTGAATCTGTCTCCAAATTCCTTGCCCGGCTTGGTTCTCAGTGAGTGCCGCTTCCTGATGGCCAGGGGTTGAGCCGGCACTGTGGGCAGCAGCCTGAATGAACAAGAACCTCACAGGTCTCAGACCGTTCTCTAGCATGCCACCCTGCAGGCCAACCCGAACAAAGTCGGTAGGCCTCCAGATCGCAGATCAGTTCCACCACCTCATCCACCGTGGTCAGGCGGGCAGGGTGACTGGCATAAAGTTCATGTTCCTGAGGCACCAGCAGATCTTGCACCACCACGTGGAAAAAAAGGCCTGGGCGGATGTGAATGACTGCGGCAGACATGGTGGAATGTTTCGAGCGCTGGACGAGACGCAGGTCTGGGCTGCCAAATGGAGGCAGCACCTCCCAATGAGCAGGGAGAGGGATCTCATTCAGCTCAGCCAAGAATTCTCGCAAGACGCTGTCCAACTGAGAGAGGGGCTGCACACCACCCAGGCTGTAGACCTCCATAATCTAGAGAAAGAGCAAAAAAAAAAGACCACGTTAGTATACTTCAGTCCTCGACGTACGACCACAATTGAGCCCAAGATTTCTGTCACTGAGACATTTGTTAAGTGAGTTTTGGCCCGTTTTATTACCTTTCTGCCACAATTGTTCAGTGAATCACTGCAGTTAGTAACATGATTGTTAAATGAATCTGGCTTCCCTATTAACTTTGCTTGTCAGAAGGCGATTTGCATGGCACCTGAGACATTGCAACCGTGATAACTATGAGTCAGTTGCCAAGCATCTGAATTTTGATCACATGACCGTGGAGATGCAACGATGCTTTTTAAGTGTGAAAACTAGTGATAAGTCACCTTTTTCAGTGCTGTTGTAACTTCAAAAGGTCACTAAATGAACTGTTGTAAGTGAAGGACTCCCCTATTTCTAAAATAACTTTAGGTAAGCTGCCATTTCCCCCAGTTTGGATTAAATAGGGCACAAGGCCCAACATTTCAAAGCCTTTCCTTGCCATGATTGGGATATTGACTCAAGGTCTCAACTAATGTAGCAGATCAGCCTTAGATATGTATCAACTACAATTAATCTTGGGTCTGGGATAAACCAATTTAAGAATGCAAGTCATCTGTCCCAGAAAATCACGTTTTATATATTCTGAAAACATTTGCACTAAAGAACCAGTTTTGCCCTCTGGGGATTCATCCTGTCTCAGTTTGGCTTCTGGGCATTCATATGGCAGGAAATGCCAGATACAACTCCATCTTGACCGAGTGAGTCAAAGCCCTGGTAACCTCTACACGAGATCACTACAATGCACCACATCAGAAACATTGTTTGAAAGCTGCTCCAAATCTAGTACAGGTAGTCCTTGGTTAACAATGGTACTTGGGACCAGCAACTCCACTGCTAAGTGGCACTGTCATAAAGCATGATATCCTGTGACTGGCTCATCTTACAGTGACAGGTAAGGCAAATCTTGGTGTCGTCATTAGATGAATTCTGTGTGATCGCAGCATCCCATAGTCACACGATCACCATTTGAGACCTCCAGCTCGTTTTCTTATTTACTTTGTTTGTTGGAAGCCAATAGTGAAGGTTGCATATGGCGATGTTCACTCAAATGGCAAAACTAATGCTGACAAGATTCAATTGATTTGATTGATGAGTATAAGAGCTCACAGAAGAAGCTAATATTTTGAGAACTTACAGAATTCTTATAGAGAACTTACCTGTGATAAATTCATCATCAAATAAAAATGGATGGACTTTTTGTTTTAACTAAAGGAAATAATAGGTAGGGGTAATCTTCGACTTACAACCACAATTGGGGCCAGAATTTCCATTATAAGTCACTGTAGTCATAAAGTGAATCTGTCTTTCCCAATTGACTGCTGCCAAGTGCCAGCTGGGAAGCTTGCTGTCATGTGACCCACAAGATGCTGCAACCATCACAAAGAAAAGTCTTGCAGCAAAGTTTGGATTGCAATCACATGGTTGTGGGGGTGGTAGGACGGTTATAACTTCAAGGAGAGTTCATAGGCCACTTTTTCCAAGGCTATCAATAACGTAGAGTTCTCATTAAACAAACAGTTGTAAGTCAAGTGGACTAGAACAGTGGTCGCCAACCAGTGGGCCAGGGACCACTGGTGGTCCACAAGAAAAATTTGGTGGTCTGCAGAGAAATGTCACCCCCAAAGTAATTAATCCAGGCTGCACAGGAATACAAGGCTGCACCACCCACATGGCCCACGGGAGCACAAGGCGGAGTGGGGGGAACTTGGTCCACTTGCCTTGCCTGGCCACCGGGCTGCTTTCTTCTTCTGCTTTTGGCTGCACGCAAGGAAAGCAGCAAAAGTCTTTCTTTCTCTCCCCCAAACTCCACCGGAAATGAGTCTTTGGGACCCTGCAAGGCATCCTGCTCCAAGAGGCTGCGCTGGCAAAGACTCATTTCTGGCGGAGTTTGGGGAAGAGAAAGAAAGACTTCTGCTGCTTCTGCTGCTTTCCTTGCATGAAGCCAAAAGTCTCTCTCTGAGAACGGAGCTGGAGACAGTATCCTGTGATCGCAAATAAAGAAAGATCCATCGATAGGAAAATGGGGCGGGGAATTTTCCTGCAGCCTTTTTTGGGGATTTTCCCAGGGTCTCTGGTCCGCAAGATTTAAAAATTTGAGTTTGGTGGTCCCTGAGGTCCAAAAGGTAGGCAACCTCTGGACTAGAAGACCTCCAAGGTCCCTTTCAACTCTATTCTTCAGTACTCTGTATTCAAGGACTGCCTGCAATTTAAATCCTTCTCTAGCTTGGACAGATTTGTAGAAAACAGGGAATTATTTTCCATCACAAATTACTTTTGTATTTAAAGAAGAACTAATCCCCGCCAAAATATGAGGGAATAACTGATGTACCTTGAGAGAACTTCTATTTGTGAGCTGTGATCAGGAAGAAATTCTTCCCAAAAAGGTTTTATCATATTTTATAGCTACAAGTGTTTCTTCACATTAAGAGACTAATTGTTGTTTGATCAATCCGTGGCAGTTAGCAAAATATATGAATTAAAAGATATCCATTGCACTGTCCAACAGAAATACAGAAGACTTCCTGTATAAAAGTAGAGCCTTTAGGCTGATACTAGCCAGCCTTGAGATAAACTACATAACAGATTCAGATTGTGCCTCAGCAGGGATCAAATAATAAAAAAAAACAACCTGGACAAGACAAAGATTATTCACTCATTCAAATGTAACCAGATTATAATTCTTGTTACACTCAAAAGAGTTGATGAAGGACAGTGTTCTCGAAAGACAATTGCATATTCACCAAGTCAACTTTCCCATGAACATTTTGTCCACCGTGACCTGATTCTACTGTAGTGGCGTGTTTGCCAAGCTCAACAAGAAAGAAGAGAATTTTGTAAATACTTAATCATACTTAGTTACACAGCAACTCCACTACTGCTGTTAAAAGTTAAAAACAGATTCATTTGCCTTTCATATTTGTTAATTGCCTTTCAAAATTTTCTAATATGGTGCTCAGGAAAAGGAAACTCAGCTATTAACTACAGTGACAAAAATACGACAGCTAGGAATTTGAAACCTGTTGGCATAATGCTAGCCAACAATGTTTCAAATCCTTCCCTCAAAACAATTCCTTCAAATATTTTACAGCAGTTACTGTATCTGAGTCCTTGACAAGGCAAAACTTAAGTAAATGTAGGGTGCCTACTGTATCGAAAGAGGCAGCAAAGAAATGAGACCAATTAACTGTTTGTATTCCTTACTGAAGATGAAGGAACTGGAAATCTTACTAAAGCGAGAGAGACTTAGCCATACAACAAATATGTAGGTTGTAGTCAAAGCACTTGGAAACTATTATTAACAATCTTAAATTTTACAGAGTCCCCTTTGCTTTTGGAATCCTCAGACTGAGAAGGTCAGCAAGAATCAGTTCTAAGAAACTATACAATTGCTAGATGTAGATAGATCAAGAAAGATTTATGCAAGGTTCCTGACTTATGGAAACTAATATAGTGAGTACCCAGACATGAAAGAGAATTGAGTTCCTGCAGAACCAGAGTATATACTGAGGTAAAGTGACTTGTTCTCTGAATGGGGTTGAAAAGTAAGGCCTCCTTAACATTTATAGATTTAATTTTCAATTCAATCCTCATTTTGCATTCTCTGCGGTATAACTTTAATTCTGGTATATGTTTAAATCCTGAAGTGACTTGAGTATTAATATTTATTTTCTTCAGGACTGACTGCAGAATGGAGAGAACTAGGGCAAACTAGAGGTTTTATTGTCTTGCCTCAATGAATAGTTCTCTCATTTTAGCTGAGATTTTTAACAACAACATCACCCCAAAGGATCTTTACAGTCACATTTTAATAGTCAGCGTAAAAGTGATGGGTTTAATTTTATCCTTATTTGACAATCTAAAGATAGAAGTGTTAATCTGCAAAGGGGGGGTTGGTTTGGCCCAAAGACAGATTTATTTTTATTTGAAAGTGGATGATCACAGTAACAGGGAACAACATAAGACTATGGTTTAGCAATTGAGGCAGTGTCAATAATTAAGAAACCCCACTTTAGGCAGATATGGTTAATATTTACAGCCATCCTTATATAAATGTGGAAAGGAATTAAATATTGATATTATCTGTCTCTCCTTTACTTTTTTGTTAATTCTACAGTTGAAAGGTTGACTACTACAAACTAGTACTAACTTTCATCCACCCAACCTGGCCATAAGACGCAAAAGTATTTTAAAACATTAATTACCAAAAGACAAAGATGGTGAACTTCACAAAAAAGATCACCTAACATAGATGGCATTTATTTATTCAGCATATGACATATTCATACATGGACTAGCAATATAAATTAACATTTCAACTAGATTAGTAGAACCCAATAAAATATAAATGTTAAAAAGATCTATGGTCAAATATCGATGTCTAGGCCAGGGGTGTCAAACTGGCGGTCCACGGGCCAGATGCGTCACTGGCAAGCCACTCCCACCCCAGCTTTGCAAAGGAAAAACATGATATGTCACATGACAGCAACGTGACACCGTGAGTCTACTCCAGACCATCTAACCATTGAAGCACAGCATCATTTATAGTTTTAAAAATATCAGCTAGTTCACTTCCTTGTGGTGCACCCTAGATAGCGCAACATCGTGAACTAAACAAGCTAGCAACTGCTGGCAGTCAGACTACTCTGTAGACTCTCCTGGCTTTCCAAATACATAGATGGCAAACAAACAGGAACGGAACTGAAAAAGGTTTTGCTGTTTTAAATGGGAGAGGGGGGAGAGAACAGCATTTCGGATAATAGAAGTAAGTTAGGTCGATCTTTTTCTTTAAGTTCACCATCTTTGTCTCTTGGTAAATAATATTTTAAAATACTTTAGCATCTTATGGCAATTGCAAACTAATCAGCAATTGAGGTATTAATAGTTTGTCATACTAGTAGGGATCATCATGTACCATCTGCAATTGTGATATTTGAAGCCAGAGTAGTAGCTCAACCAAAATTCCTAGAATTATCATCTCAATTGATTTTGAGAATATTTAATGAAAACCTATTTACAGTTTGCAACCAATGTAGGCATGGGCCCATTTATTTAATTATAGGTTATATATTCCTTGTTACAGATTAACTGCTCTAGTTTCTATTAATTTTTATTCTTCTTATAAGAAATGCAAGGGAGTCTTACAGAATTACCTTTGGTTTTAATATCTCTATATTCTAGACAGCACTAAATTGGCTTTTAAATATCAAATGTGGGATTCTGAATTTTAGAGGGATTATATATAAGGCATCTTCAAAAAGTCATAGCCAGAGACAAAGTGCTTCAGTTCTATTGCTCTTATAGAAATTTGCATTTAGTTGAGCACATACAAACAAGAAGCTGGAGAAAAATGCAAGTGTCTCTCAGATGAAACCATCGGGACAGCTAAGCAAAGAAAAGCAGCCAAAGCAGCAGGCAAATGGGAGGAAGCAAGGAAATTAAAAGCAAATTTCCAAAGCTCATCAAGGAAAGGCAACAAAGTTTAGACTTGCAAGCAAGGGTAAAATGATTGCTCAAAAGGCTCAGGAAAGCATTTCCGCAAGTCCAAAGGATTTGAACATTTTATGCTCATAAAAGCGGCCTCAAAAACTAGCAAGAGAAAGAACTGTCTCACCCATAAGGTGTTAAGAACAGATGGTGAGAATAAACAGAAAAGCTGTATACCAGCAACAAAGAGGCCCAACTTTCTCAGAATGACAAGGAAAGGGAAGCAGAAATAGAACCAGTCATCCTTCAGGAAGAAGTTGTGTAGGCAACTGCCCAAAAAAACCCCCAAGGCCGCAGAATTTCTTAGGCCTGTTTCACCCTCAATCACCACAGCCTTGTGTCGGAAAATTTGGGAAACATATACAAAGCCACAATATTGGAAATGAGCAGTGTTTATTCCACTGCCAAAAAAAGGGTGACTCCAAGGAATGCTCCAATTATTGCACAGCTGCCATCATCCTTCTCGCTATTTTCTCCTGAAGATTGTACTATTTACTTTGACTCACCCGCCCTCAAAAATGTTAGATCCCACCAGAAAATTCCCTAAGTGAGAAATCCCATGGGAAAATACCCGTCTCTCCCTTTTCCTTTAAACCACTCATTGCCGACAGCCAGAAAAGCTTATTGCCGGAGAGACCTTGTCTCCATTCATAAGGTACATTGTTTCATTGATCAATTAAGGCAGAGATATAATGTGACCTCAAAAAGCCACAGAACGGCAATAAAACTCACAGCGCTGGGATCACTCAAAGCACTGAGACCGGAGGCAGACAGAGACTGATTACAGAAAGCGAACCAGATTAAAAAGCATGAGAATTTCACATCTATGCCCACATTTCTTACACCCAAGGAGGGCAGCAATAAGAACCATATGCCCCAGAGGAAATTCTCTACTGAAAAGGAAAAGATAAGATATGCCCCAGAGGAAAATATCTACTGATGAGGAAGATAACAAGCAACTCACATTTCTTTCAGAAACATAACACAAAGGATCTCAAATCCCATAAAAATCTCGCTAATGTACCAGTCAATGGCCAGCTACTCCAAAAACAAACTCTGTTGTTGTTTTTGGAATTAAAAAAGAGACCTCCCTACCAGCAGTTCATCTTACACGTTGAACACTTGCGCTCTTTTCCCAGCTTGGAAGAAAAGGGACCCAGGAAAATACTCCCAACAAGATCATGCAATAGTGTCTGATGCCATCCATCAAAAAATGAATTACTAGATATTCAAGCTGGTTTCAGAATGGATCATGGCACTAGTGACTATATTACAAATTACTCTAAATCATGAAAAAAATCTCAAGAACATCTAAAGAACTTCTACATCTGCTTTATTTACTATAAGAAAGCCTTCAATTATATCAATCATTTGCTTTGGAGAGTCCTAGAACAGGGGTCCCCAACCCCCAATCCGTGGGCTGGCACTGGTCCGCATCATGCCAGAAACTGGGCTGTGCAAACAAGCAAAGCCCCATCACGGGATGCAGGCAGCACGCAAAACCGCAACTCCTCCAGTCCCCAGAAAAACCTTTCTCCATGGAACTGATTCCTGGTGTCCAAAAGGTTGGGGGCCTCTGTTCTAGAAGACCTGGGGGTGTCAACACATCTGGTTAAATGGATGCAGTCTCTTGTACACAGATCAGGAAACCATTGTGTGAATACCACATAAAGACACTGATAGGTTCAAGACAGAAAAAGAACTGTAGCAAGGTTGCATTCCTTCATTTTTTGTATTCAACCTGTATGCCGAAGTGATCATAAGGAGGTTGGAATTTGAAAAACAAAAAATCAGGGTAAAGATTGGAGGAAGGAATATCAACAATCTTTGATATGCTCACAACACAACTTTCCTTTCAGAAACCAAAGAGAGCTTGAAAGAAGGTCCAAAGGATTAAAGAAGAGAGCAAGAGATTTGGCCTCTTCCTGAACATCAAAAAGACTAAGCTAATGACCACTGTGGGGAATGAACATGTCACAATAACATTGACAATGAAGAGATTAGTTTTTATCACCTATGATGTGATATATGTGATAAAGCAAAAAAAAAAAAAAAAAGCATGATTCACACTCTAATACAGAAAATCCTGAAAATGGAGACAGAAATGAAACCAGAATTTTTTTCTTTTGGAACTAAAGGAAAAAGAATTGGAGAAAAAAATTGGAACTCTGTTACTATATATGTTGACAGTAGCAAGACTATTGTATGCACAAAAATGGAAAGACACCTACCTACCATAGAAGAATTGTTGCAGAAGTTGATGGAGTTGGCTGAAATGACTACTCTTGATTAAAGAAAAGAACATAAGTACTTTTGTTTCCACGTGGAAACCGCTTCTGAACTTCATGCTTAATGTGGAAAAGAATGAAACTCTGACTTTGGGTTTTACAAATTAGATTGATTGGTCTTTATAGAAATGACTTGTTCATACTATTATGGAAAAACAAAAGGCTGTGATTTGATGTTAATGCCTTATTTTACTATAACAGAGAAAGTTGGAAATCAATGCTTCTTTTTCTCCCCCCCCCCCACTATCTTTTCTCACTTCTCTTCCCCTTTCCCCTCCCCCCTCACTGCTCTTCTACTTACTTTGTATTTTATAATACTTTATAACTTAATAAAAATGTTTTTAAAATAAAAATAAAAGTGTGCAAGTACACTTCTCTAGGATCGCACATTGATCAAAGCAGTGAGTGCAGACCAGAAATAAGAGTTAAATTGTACTGGGTCACACAGCAATGATGAGCATGAATTGCCTGGCAACTAAATGCAGATTAGACTGCACTATCAGGTTTCCCACAGCTACCTACAATTGCGAAAGTTGGAGTATTTAAAAAAAAAATTAGGCAGGAAGAAAATTAGTTTGTTTGAGCTGTGGTGCTGGAGAAGGCTCCCCACATTCCTTGGTCAGCAAAAGGGACAAACAAGCAAGTAGCGTGGAGTGTGTAAAACCAGGCATATTGCTGGAAGGCAGAATCACAAAATTCCATCTTACTTATTTCAGCCATGTCATGCAATCAAACTCATTGGAAAAGACAGTTTTGCTCGGAATGGTCAGTGATAAAAGGAAATAACACCACCCAAAAGCACAGTTGCTAGACGTAATCAAAGCTGACACCAGTCAGAGCATAAAACAACTGAAAGAAGCTGTAAAAGACTGGAAAATGTGGAGACAGCTGGTCCATAGAGTCGCTGAGAACTGGATATGATTGAATGGACAGCATCCTTGTTTAACAAAGATGGTTGGCAAGCCGGAACAACAATATGTATCCTATCTCTTATCAGGTATTTATTTTTATGGTTGGTCAAGGACCATAATAAACTTTTCAAAACAAGGTTTCCATGCAATCCACCTCTCCCCAAATCACTTATTGTTAAAAAAAACACCCTACAAACAGTAAAAAATTTCTCCTTCACCTCATTGATTTCAATATCTGTTGTTGCATATCTATCACCTTCTGCTGGCCATATGTATTGTGATTCTCATCCCCAGAATCAGGAACAAACTTGGCCAGGATCAACAACCAGAAAAGAAACCTCAAAAGAATGCAGATTACCACAGTGCTCAAAATCATCCCATTACTCACCACTGGAGGCTGAATTTGCTGCAATAGTCCTATTTCATTGTCTTCTGGATCATCAAGAACTACCACTTCTGTGCTTTGTGTTCCTGATAGTTTCTTAAATTGAGGGAATCCTGCTGATACCTGTAGCAACAAGAACAAGGTTTAATTTGGGAATGCCAACAAATAGGACTTTCTCAGACTTCTCGGTGCCCAAACCCTATTTCAGACAGCAAATCTGACATCAGATTTGCACAAAAGATATTTCAGAGGAAGCTGAAGCACAGATTATATAGAGAAATTAAAATACATGTGATTACAAGGCAGGCAAGACACCGCTTGAAACATCTCTTTAAATGCATGGGCCCAGAAATATTTCTTGTATGGTTGGAAATCCATTAAAATAAAGCCATAAGAACATAACATTAAATAGTTCCCTGCTGGATTGCATTCTTTGTCCATCTAATCAAGTAGTCTGTTCTCACAGTGGCCGATCAACTGCGCGCGTGCATGCACGCTCACACACACACAAATCCCACTTGTCTCTCAGGAGGTCACCTTCAAGGGCAGTCACGCTGCCATCAAGTCTAATGGTCACTGACCTCTAAGAATTGGTCCAAGTGTTTTTTGAAACCAGCCAAACCTGGGTGGAATAATATTGAGAAATTAAAGGAGGATTGAGAAATTAAATTTTTCCCAGGTCAAAATTTGGCAAGCATCAAATTGTAATTCAAATTTGTTCAGTTCTAAATTGGAAGGATTGCTAAGTCTATACAAAGTCTATTATTTCAATTAAGTGGGTGATATCCTTTCCTTTTGTCCTACAGTTTCATATTCATACCATACTCTAGGTAAGGAGAAAGACTTGAATTATAACCAAAAATCATTTCACTAAGCCATCATGTTCCGGTAGGACTTAATGATGCTGGAACTGCTGGCCAGAAATGGTTTGCACTCCAATGGTTTGAGTCTGGTTCTGTGAGACAGAGTGAGCTCCTGTCGCTTGACCCCCTAGCTCCTGCCCACTCAGCAGTTCGAAATCATGCAACATTGCAAGCAGACAAATGGGTACCACTTCACTGGGGAAAAAACTAGAGTGTGGAAGCTGGCAACGGACCTGGCCAGACATGAGGCATCACAACACAAGGCAAGGCGAGACTGGTAGAGAAGTTTGGAAGACCCAGCAACCTGAGCGCTGTTACTTAATTGGTGTAAAACTAATTCACCTCCAATGGTGCACCAAGGATAGCAATCTAGGCTGTCAGGGCTACATTGTGTCTAGCATGTGTATATTTCCCGGACATTGTATGCCATACGCTAAATAAACAAATAAAAAATTCAGCAAGCAACCAGAACACTGAGGTGATTTGACAAGGAAAGACACCTTAAACTAGAGCTTACCAGAGAGTCACTGGATGCCTGACAATTCCCACCTGGTTCTGCATATTCTTGCTTGTTTTGGGGAGAGGTGGCAATAAGGAGATTGACTACAGGCAGTTTGGTATCTGGATCCTATGAGATACAAAATATCAGAGCCTATAAACGGAGGTTTTAAACCTAATGTTTCAAGCTACATACAAGTTGTAGTTTTTACAAAAAGAGACACAAGTGGACTCTCTACCACCAGCAGTATATCATTGCTGCTCTTTCTCAAGTCTAATTGTACCATGTTAACATGTTCATTTAATTCATTACTCTGTTGGAAAAAATCTTGCTCAGGACACAATACACACACCCACACCCACACCTGTGAGATCACTCTCTGCTTGACTTTTGAAAACTAGGTGTTGCATAGAAACATAATTAAAAAAGATAAAACATATTTTAATTAAGCTACCAAGTGGGTGTGAAAGTCAACAAAGGCCTTGCAGTTTCAAAGGAATACATGCACGGCAAAATCTACATTTTTTTCCTGCATATTACAAGAGAGAGAGAGAGAAGGAAAGATACTTGAAAAATTCAAGTTTGTTTGCAATTTGAAACCAGTTTTGGTACAGCCAGCAAATTTAGGAGGGGACTAAATGTGTGGCTTCTGCATGTCCCTCCTCCATTTTAAAGGAAGAAAAGCAATAAAATACTAGTGTACTGTACTAAATAGCATCTGCGATGCAGTGTTTTCAAGAAAAATCAATGCCAAATAAGCTAAGCGAGAGCAGCTTTTGGAAATGATATGAACAAGAATGCCAGGTCCCAATCTCTGTCTTAGCCAAATGAACACTGTTAAAGATGAAAAGCTAACGCATCCAGAAATGCCTGTGTTGTTTAAGTCAAACAACAACGATCTTCTAAAAATTTACAAAGCATGAGACTTTCAGGATATTGCCGCCCAACTTTTCCGATGCTCTCCTCCCACACACAGACACTTTCCCAAACCTATGAATCAGTGATCTTTATTAGTAAGTTATTTAAGTCTATTTCAGTGATCAGATATTCAGTTTTGTTTTAACCTCAATTACTCATGCCTTTTTCAGCACCTACCTATAAAGTAACATTCTGTTTTCATTTCACCATTGCTCCCTTTTTCAGGCAAGTGCAAACAAGAAGGTCTAACAAATATAGCAACTCCTCCTGCCCTAAGCATTTGACATTGGCGAAACAGGAGGAACAATTTAGGGGAGGAACAGTCGTACGTGTCTTAAAAGGTACCAGCTTTCACCCACCTTTCTTATGACTGAGATGGGAACGATGGGGTGGGGAGGTATATCTTGCTCTTGCTGGATATATGGTGGCACATTGGAACACTCCTTTATAGTTTGGTGGGAAGCAGAGGATATGGTTTTCTTCTTCAGCTTCACTGGTGGTGGCTGCAGCTGCAGCTTCTCCTGCTTAGGCATCTCTAAGCCCAGGGATTTGGGCACTTCAGTCCACTCACTGGTCAAAGAAGATTCCTTCAGTGCCACAGGAAAGGAAAGGAAGAGACATAAGCCACCTTATTATAGCCGATTTGTCTATCGAATTCAGAATCATACAGGACAATTACTGCGAATAATTCCACCAGAGTAGTAGTAATGGGCATCAACTGACATCAACTGGGAAACAAATTCTGCAACAAGCTCCCAAGGATGGGACAAGAAGCAATGGTGGAAGTTGTTATGAGGAGACCCAATCTGAAAATAAGGAGGAATTTCCTGACAGTGAAAATTATTAAGCAGGGGAACTTTGGATTATGGATTTCCTGTCTGGCTGCTCACAGAGGGTCAAATTAGGTAATCATACCTCTTCAGCCCTTATTCTTAACACTAGTACACCACAGGGTTGCGTGTTAAGTCCCTTACTCTATATTCTTTATGTGCATGACTGCATTCCCACTCACGCTAGTAATACTATTGCTAAATTTGTAGATGATACAACAGTGGTGGGACTCATCTCCAGGAGGGGATGAGTCTGCCTACCGAGATGAGGTGGACCAGTTGCTTTCGTGGTGTGCAGACAATAACTTGTCCTCAACACCAATAACACCAAGGATCTTATTGTGGATTATAGAAGGAACAGATCAGACATCCAGCCCTTGCTTATCAATGGAGACCGAGTGGAGCAAGTGGCCAATTTTAAGTTTCTGGGTGTTACCCTAAAAGAGGACCTGGGGTGCCTACATTGCAGCCCTGGTCAAAAGGGCCCAGCAGAGATTATACTACCTGAGACTTCTCAGAAAACAACAACTGAATGAAAAACTGCTGGTGTCCTTCTACCGCTGCACCATAGAGAGCATTTTAACTTACTGTACCTCTGTATGATTTGCCAATTGCACAGTGGCAGATAGGAAAGCACTCCAGAGGGTTAATGTCATTGCCCAGAAGATCATTGCCCTCTCCCCTCTTTGGAACAGCTTTAAAGCTCCTGCTGCCTTAAGAAAGTTCAAAACATTCTAGTGGGGCGGAGCTGGCGTCGCGACGATACGGCATGCGATCTTGGAGGTCTGAGATTGCTGCCAATATCTTTGCTCCTGGACGGTCCAAACGGATCTAAACTGTCCCGAAGAGACGGTGAATGTAAAGAGCGCATTCTGTCGATCCCAGGGATACCGCAAAGTCCCTGGTAGATCCAAGAGAAGCTCTTTTTTGCCAGCGGCAAAGAGGCAGCCATTAAAGCTGCTGAAGTTGGGACAGCTCCGAAACGGAAGAGGATAGAAAGAGAAAGTGTGCCAGTTTGGTGAGAATTTTTTCTTTAAGATTTAAAAGGACACCCTAAGAAAGAATCTGTAAAATTTCAGACAGAAGTAATTAAGCGGTAATTTTAAACGGGAAGTCCAATTAATCTTTTCCTTTTTTTTTGCTGGACTTTTCATATATGATTTTTTTACTTTGAACTGGACTGATCTTTTTTCCTACCTTATTTTTTCTTTTTTGTCTCTTCTCCTTTTTGTCTTTACAATATTTTAGGCTAGAGATTCCCTTTTAGCTTTTTTTTTTCTAAACCTTTTTTCCTTTTTAATTAATTTTTATAATAATTTGTTTGGAAAAGGAGGGGGCAAGTGAAAACAGAGGAAACTTTGTAACACTGCCAACTAGAGGCTTAGAAATATTGTTTCTCTCTTTTTCTCTCTCAACCAGAACAAAGCTGAGAAAGAATTCAGACTTCTTTTCAAGGACTTTGAGCCTGTCTGATAAGATAGAGGGAAGAGCATGGGAGAGTGTTATTGCTGGTGCTCTTCTGGGTTTCTATCAGTAGCTGGAGTCTGGTGTTGAAGTATACAGAAAAAAGATGATAAGACTCTAGAAAAGAGAGCTATAAAAATTAACAAAAGCCTTGGACAACTAAATAGGTGCAGTGTGTTCTTTTTCTCTTTTTTAAGTTGGGCTATTCCTCACATCCCCTCCTTATTAGCTTATTATTTGTAATAGTTATTTGGATCTCTTGGACTTTTGGAACCTGCTTTTGTCTTTCTTTTTGCTTTTGGAGCCTAATGTTTACTTTTGTATCTTATTTTAAAGGAAAAGTCTTAGTATTAATGTTTTCCTTATTCTTTTTTTAAGGGAGTAGTCTTTTTTCTCTCTCCCTCTCCTGCATTTTTTATTTACCTTCCATATTTTTTTTTGTGGCTCCCTTTTTTTTGTATACTTTTTCATACCTGAGACTTTTTAATTGGACTAAAGTGTTGAAGAACCTGAAGAAATTTCTTTAGTTTTTTACTTTTTATTTTTCTGCCTTCTACAAGATTTAACAATTTTTTTCCTTTTTCTGTTTATGGTTTTTCTTCCTTTTTTGAGTTTTTACTGCTATTTAACTAATTGATTGGATTAAGGTATACAAGAACCTGAAGAAATCTTTTTTTTTTCTATCTCACTTCTTTTCTATCTCACTTCTTTTTTTTCCACTATTTTTACTTGGATTTAAAATTGGTTATTTCACGAGTGGATTGGGGTCTAGAAGAACCTGAAGATTTTGAATTGCCTAAAATGAGCAGGAAACTAACAGCGGCTGGTTCTTCAATTCCTACTTCTTCCTCTTCACCATCTGGAGGACAACGCTCAATACAGACGATGTTCCAGAAAGAAAAAGAACAGGAAAAGGTGACATTGCAGATGATAATGTAAGGAATTCAAAGCATACAAGCAAGAACAGAGAATATTGAAAAGAGAATAGAAAAAACTGATGGAGAATATTCAACAAATGATGATGAAATATGATGAGAAATTCAAAAAAATTGAAGAAGATAAACAAAGAAATAAGAAGATTGGAGATATTGATGGCAGATTAACAGTGGTTGGACAAGATAAAAGTGGGATGCTGAGATGGGAGATGGATAGATCAGAATTTTATCTCAGATTTCAAAACATAGAGGAAGAAAAGGGAAAAAACTTAACTGAGATAATGATTGAAATCTTGGTTGAAGCTCTGGAAATAACCAAAGAGAAGATGATGGATGGAATAGACGAGGTTTTTCAAGTCTTCACAAGATATGCAATGAGAAATAGCTTACCAAGAGAAGTTCACATCAGATTTACAAAGAAAGCCATTAAAACACAAATATTGCAGATGGCAAGAGATAAAACATTGAAATATAAAGATAAGGAGATTGTGGTCCTAAAACAAGTACCCAGAAGAGTGAGAGAGATGAGAAGAGAATACCGATTCCTGACTAAAATTCTACTTAAAAAAGAGGTGAATTATAGATGGCTGATTCCAGAAGGTTTAATGTTCACATGGCAAGAACAGAGACACAGAATTGACTCAATTGAGAAAGCTGAATTATTTTATACTGAATACTTTGGAGGGAGAGAGGAGACAGAAAAAGAAATGTCACTAATTGAATTCCAAGAGGATTGCCAGATAGCGACTGAAAAAGAAGAAGGTGCAGTAGGCGGAAAGGTGGAAGTTAAGGAACAACGTGAACCAAGATCTATGAGAACTGCTAAACCTAACTATAAAATATAATCATAGAAGAGAAAAAACCGATTACAATTAATACAAATGGACTTAACTCAGCTGTTAAAAGGAAAACTTTCCATAAATTAGAGAAATTAAAATTTGATATAATCTGCCTACAAGAAGTACATATTAAAAAGCAACATGAACAACTGTTGATACAGCCAAAGTTAGGGAAAACATGTACTTCTTTGACACAATGCAAGAAAAGAGGAGTGGTGTTATACAGTGGTGTTATACATTAAAGATATTATCCCAGCAAAATTGATCTATACGGATGACAATGGAAGATTACTAATGGTGGAAATAATGGACAATAATATGAAAACACTCCTGATCGCAATCTATGCCCTGAATGACAATCAAGAAGAATTTTATAGAAAATTACATATGAAAATAATTGAACTGGACTATGCTAATATCATTATGATGGGAGACTTTAATGGAATTGTAGACAATAAATTGGACTATACAATACAGAAAACAAGAAAGCAAAACAGAAAGACCCTCCCTAAATCCTTTTTTAAAATGACAGATGAAATAAATTTAAAAGATGCATGGAGAGAAAGAAATGCTAAGACTAAACAATACACCTTCTATTCAAACAGACATTTATCATGGTGCAGGATAGATATGATATGGATGTCAACAGAATTGTTAGCCAATATTCAAGAAATAAATATTGAAACAAGTATTTGGGCAGATCATAATCCAATGACAATTAAATGGAAAGGACAAAGAAGAAGATCTAGATGCACGTTAAATAATACTATACTGAAAGAAAAAGACTTCATACAGAGGATGGAGAAAGAACTGCCTTTTTTCTTTAAAGAAAATAAAAAAGAAGAGAGATCAACGCAGAATGTATGGGATACAGTGAAGGCATATGCCAGAGGCTTGATAATAGACTATACAAGGAAAAGAAATACCACGAAAAGACTAGCCTCTAAGACATTAGAGGATGAGTATAAAGAACTTGAAAAAGAGTTACAGAAAATACCACAGAAAAAGGACATTAAGTTAAAAATGGATATAATTAAACATAAAATGGGACTAATGGAAAAAGAAGAATTAGCACAGAAAATCAGAGGTGTGAAACAAAACTATTTTGAAGATGCAAATAAACCAGGTAGATGGTTAGCATATAAACTGAGAAAGGATAAAGAATCAAGGAAAATATTGCAATTAATAGATGATCAAGGCCAAGTTTGCTATGGAAGTAAAGAGAAGAAGGAAATTATACGAGACTACTACGGGAAACTATACACACAAGAGAATATTGACGATGAAAGAGTTAAATAGTACTTACAGAATGCTAACCTACCCCAGATACCTAAAGAGATTGAAGTAATGTTAGAAAGCAATATAACGATGATGGAGTTAACTGAAGCACTTAAGAAGCAAACCAATGGAAAGACACCAGGCCCAGATGGACTTCCAGCGGAATTTTATAAAACACTACAAGAATCGTTGAATCTTCCATTGCTAGAAGTTATGAATGAAGTTATGTTAAAGAATAAGA